GGGGGCAAAGGGAAAGGAAAGAGGGGGGGGTGACTTGACCGACAACGGTTTCTATCTGGGCCAGGAGATGTAGGATGTGCATTGACCCCGATGGGGGTCTCATTACGGCGGAGGAAGGAAGAAGAGAAGTATGATGATGATGATGATGATGAGGATATCGAACGGAAGGGAAATTGCATGAGGTGGACGCGTTTAATGGGCTGCAGACACAGGAGAAAGGGGGAGGGAGAGCAAAGAAGCATTAGAAAAAGGGACTTTCGGGACCGAGGCATCACTTCCTCTCTTTCCGTGCCATTAAACGAATGGAAGGGGAATGACGAGGGTTAATCCTTTTTACGGCGACATTATGCCGATGAACGAGGAATAACAATTATTGGCCACGGAAGTGATAACACGGATCCCCTTCCGCGTTGGGAGTCGATTTTACTTTCTACCGAAGGGGAATCCCCCCACCGAAATGGTCCATTTCCATGATGGTCCCGGGCACCCAGGATTCACGAGCCTGATCTATAGAGGCAGGAAGAATCATGTTATCTCCAGACAGAGCGAAGGAAAGACGAGAAATGAGCTTGTCACTTCCATGCCTCCTTCCCCATGCATACCCGGGCGAAACGGATCGATGCGGGCGACATCCAAGATGCACCGAGAGGGGGGATGCGTGAGTGCAGGGTATACATATGGGAAGGGGGTCAGGCCGTCCGATGGGAGGACGTGGCCAGAGGGGGTCATTTCGCATAGATGACGTGATGGATGGCGTTCCCGCTTCGACATCCTATTTACTCGGGGAATCTCTGTTTGATTAATCTTCGATCATCACTCTTCTCCGGTACCTGCACGGAGCACTCGGCGGTTCCGAAGTCCTTTCGCAATCGTTTGTGATGTACGGCTGCCTTTCCTCCCCCATTCTTTTCCTCCGTTTGGAATCATATAAATTTGCATGGAGACAAAGGTTGCTTTTCGCAACGGAGCGGCTACCAAGGTCACTGGCCGCGGGACTCAATATAAAAATAAAGGATGAATTGGAGTGGAAGCGTCAGGCCAATCCGCACACCTCAAAGCAAGTCGTGTTCTGCTTTGTTCTCTTTCTGACTCTCTCCTTCGGGCCACGAGGCATGGATGAACACAAAAAAAAAAAAAAAAAAAAAAAAAAACCTGTGTGATCGTAGACGTGGTACACGGGAGCATCCCCGCCCCCGGCGGGAGGCACTGGGACCCTCGCGGGATGCGACCGAGGCCGGCCCAGCGGATTGTACAGCGTCAGGATCAGAGTATTCTCGTTCTCCGACACTTCGCACGACGAAATGTTGAGGAACGGGCAGTGCGACATCTCCAATGTCCCCCCTCCTCCCATCATAGACCTGCAATTCCAGACTCGCACTTTTAAAACTCAATACTTAAACCATATAAACAATTTAAATAAAAAAATTACTTATTTTTACTATTTTTAACACCGGCTAAAAAAAAAAAACTACAGCCGACGATGAATCCAATTTCAATCTCACTTGAGGGCGTCTCGCACAACAGTCCAGGTGGCGTCGAGACCGAGCGAAATGAGCCGGTAGTAGTCATCGGTGACGTGCTGCTTGGCGGTGCCCGTCACCGCGTCGTGGTGCATGTTCACCCCCATCACCTCTCTCATCTGCGACAGGTTCTCTTCGGATCCCGGGGACGGGAACGCGCTGCCCAGCTGCTTCCCTATCTTCTCGGACGCAAACGTTTTTCCTTGATAATTCTCTCGATCGCGTTCAGTCGATCTATTTAGCGTGTTTCTGTGAAAAGCCGCAAGTGGATCGGCTGAGGATGCATTTTTCGACTCCGTTCCATGAACTACACCGAACCCTTTCTTAACCATACGCTGAACTTTTCTGACGCTGAAATACGCTGAACTCAAAAATAAAACGCGATCTGAGATCCCCCTTAGACAATATCAAACCGAGTCGTTATCCCCTTTGGCAATATCAAACTTCCTACATTTTTAAATTAAACATCCTCAGCCACCCACCACCGACCCATCGAAGCAACCACCTGCAGGAAGAGGTCGCTCGTGCGAATGAACCTCTTGAACGTCGGCCTGGACGAGAAGTACCCCGTCCAGTACGAATTATTATCCGACGCGTAAGGGAAGAAGTCGTCCATCTTCTCCGGCCACTGCACCGACGAGTCTTCCTGGATCGACTTGAGGTAGCAGCTCGGGGTCGAATACAGCAGGTGCACCGTGTCGCCTCGCTGCTCGTTCACGTACCTACCGGATCGAAAGGGGGTGTTGGGAAAATTCTCGACGCGAAAGGTACGATGGCAAAATTACGTTAACGAAATAGAGGTAAAATAAAAGAAAAATAATTTTTTTGGTAAGCTTTAGGTTAACTCGAAAATGGACCGAAGGCAGGCATGTTTCGTGCGGTCGTGGACAGATTTTGAAAATGTTCTGAGGATGGACAGAAGAGACTCGGTCTCACTTGATGAGCTTGTCCAAGTTCTTGTACCAGACGTGGGCGTCCTGGTAATTGAAATCGTTCCCCATCGTCGCCATGACGTGCTTGGTCCTGAATCCCGCGGATGCCTTTTCTGCCCATGTCACGAATTCGTCCACCTGCAGATGCAAAAAAAGGCCCGAGAGTGCCAAATCGCGGAATGCCCTCGAACAAGTTTTCTGTTGTTTTGTTTTCACCTTGCTGGGGACGTTGTAGCCCGGAGATCGCGGGTTGTCGATGATGACATCGTCGCAGAGGATATCGAAGCAAAATCCCGGCGGGGGACTGTAGTGATTAAACAGCACTCCCGTGAACAGGTCCCGCGTCGGGTCTACGAATTAATTCATCTCGTTAATGATCCCCCCACGAACCGCCCACCGTCGCCACGACGCCAACAGATACCATTGACGAAGTCCTCGGTGCCGTGCCAGACGATTTCCATCGTCTTGTTGGCGACCCTCTGCTCCTTATCGCGGTAGTCGAGGCGTCCGAAGAAGAGGCCGTCGAAGCCCATTCCGGCGAATATCGCTGCTTGCTCCCTGGAGTGTCCGAAGGGGTCGATCTGCCAGGCGACCCTGGGTCGACCGCATGTCCCGAATTCCTCTGCCAGGTACCTAAGACGATTCGGTGCACGTCTCGGTCATGCCGATCACTTAACGCTAACGATGCTGTTACTAAGGCATTCTGCTGATCTCAGGGACGGTACGCGGTTTCTTTTTTTAATTATAAAACAATGGGACGTACCAGTTCGGTTCAACGTCACCGGTGTGATTTCACACTGGACTCTTCCCCTGGGAATAAGCTTAACCGATGGACTCGTATGATTATCACAAGTCATACCATGTTGTGAACGGTTTAAGTCGAGGTCAATCCGATATGGTTATAATTACACCGTGTCTCAGGTCTGACTGTTATCGCGGAAGACAGTTCACGACGCGACAATTTTGCATACGACTGCCCGATAAGCTTGGAAGGCGACTTGAACCCTTTCAACCATAGACAACTCGATCGAGAAATCCAATAACACGTTCTCGACCTGTCCACAAGCATCCCACGATTCATCCCCGAGATAACGCCCGGCGACCTGGGGTAAAGCCTCTCCCCCCCCCCCCCCCACACACACACACACACACACACATACCTCATCCCCCAGGCAACATTGTCAATGATGGACGAGTAATGCGCTGTCGCCTCGTCGTTCATACTCCATCCTCCCCCGATGAACTCCAGCCGTCCCTCCTCGATGAGGACGCGAACCTTCTCCTTCATCTCCTCGCTCTGTTCCGCCCACCACATCGCGAAGAAGCCGGTCTCCACCTGGATGAATCGCTTCACCGGGTCTCGGAACAGCTCCTCCATCACAGAATCCAGGATGTATTGTACTCCTGCTCGCTGGATCGTGTTGTTTGCTGTCGGGGTTTAATGTACGTCGTTTGCGGATTCATCAATTTCGACTGATTCGACAGGTGAAGGGTTCGATGCGGCTGACCTCCGTAGTAGTACTGATCCACGGTCTTCAACCAACCCAGGTCATCGTGACTGTGTGAGACGAGGTGAACGTTCAAGACTCCTGGTTTCGGGGTGGGGCAGCCCTGCATGGAATCGAGAGTGTATTATCGTAACATATCGCTCGTCGATGACTTACATATCGCATTATCGACACTATGACTCATTCTTGCCAGATGGTAATTGTATCCTGCATGTCAATTACTGGGATATCTGATACCCGGCCGCCTCCACGAGGCAAGACTGGCGGCGAAAACGCGATCATTATTTTGCTTCCTGAACTCATCAGCCAGCAAATAACAACAAAAAAAACCTGCACGGCAGCATCGTCGCAAACCTAACACTTGGCATTTTTTCTTCTCCCTCCTCCCTCAGCAAATAGAAATAAATCCAATCCTCTTACAGCGAGATGGTTCCAATATTTGTGCCTTCCCTCTTTCAAGCACGATCTAACTCGGTTTTAGCAACGAATAATGCCTGGTTCCGGGCAAAAGCTAACGAGAAACGAGTCTTTAGACCTTGCTAATAGCGAGCTTGGTTATGGCAAGAACTCCGTTAGAACTAAGTCACGTCTTGTCTCGTTGATTTAAATAGAGTGTTGTAAAGTTGTTCGTCATCATGCTCCCCAATAACCGGAATTCCCTTCGTTGGGACACTGGAATGGGCATTGACACTATCTTTTACATTTATGGAACATGCACTAGTTTTTTTTATTTAAGATAATCAAATTAATTGTAAAGCGGGCGTTTAATACGATTTTTCTCTTGGCCCATTCTATGGCGTAATAACCGAGTTGGGAATGTAGCTACCAACCTGCTCTCGTCTCCTCAAGAACTCGGCCGATTCTCAATAAATCAAGAGGTTTTTTTTTGCGATGGAAATCTGCATGAGAGCGCATACCCGCTTCGAGTCCAGCTACCACTCCGAATGCACGCGCGTTTTCCCCCCATTGTGATTGCAGGGCAAAGCAGCGGCAAAGAGGATGCAACGCCCCTGTTCCGGGTCGTGATTCGCTCAAACCTTTCGTACGTCTCTTCTGCATCTCGATGGGAACCGTGCACGTGGTTTTTGTTATGACTTTTTTTGTACTACGGCAAATGAAAGCATAAACTAGGAACTCCTTATCGATCATTCCGTGCATCGCACTAGGCCTAACGAGGTTCGTTTGTGAGCCGACACGAGCAGACTCAAGTTCAAGGCAAACGAGTCGAAGGACAGTGCCAGTACCTGGTACCCGCAGACACGCGGCGCATTCAAGGACTTCCCATCCACTCGAAGCACGGAGAGAAGAACGAGGAGCAACCAGGAATGAAGCATGATGAGCACGACGAGACCGAGACGCTCACCCGGCGTACACTGAACCTCGCCTCACTCTGCTCTCGCTCGCCTCGCTGCCACCAGCTATATAGGGCCTAGGGGAGCGCTGACGGCCATTCTGGGATCTCCCGGCCTAGGATACGAGCAGACACGACAAAGGATAGGAGGAGAAAGAAATGCGGATTCACCCATAAACCTTTCAACTGCTTTCTTTTCTGCATCGCTGACTTTGACGTTGACGAATTTCGTTTGGCCTTTTCTTTGAATACTATTTTTAGACTTCACAATCCGTGTTATCGATAGCGTGCGTTCTACACCTCGCCCCAATCGTGTACAAATGCTCCCCGCCCAATGCAATTCACCAGAATTCATAATGAAGCTTTCGATATCGTGGCCCGCCCCCATTTTTGCTCCTCGTGTTTTATGTATCATCGAGTCATGGATTCTTTGTTTACACTCGAACCGCGCTTCCGGCTGATCATCGTTACGCATTCTCTTTCCGATAATCGAAGGACACGCAAAGCGTCGAGCGCACTGCCATTACTCGAGGAAAAACCAAGGGGAAGAGGAGATTCAAAGCTGGCTTTCGAGTGACTCCATTGAAGGCTTAGTGTTCTCGCCTCGACCCACGGTCCATTTAGAAACACGAACTTGGCAGGTTCGTCACATCATCAACGCACTGAGAAATGAGTCTGGAGAAGGGGAAATGACTCGAATACAAAAGCCAAAGGAAGTTCCACACTTCTTACCTCTATTGTGCTGTGCAAGGGGAGGCACAAGGATACTGTAAGGATTCGGTAAGGAATCGATTCGTGGTGGTTCACGGGAAGCTCGCTAGATGTCTCTAGCGGCTGGCGCCTCATCTGAGCTCTCACAGTGTTTTTCGTGCATTTTTCCACCGCGTTTTCTGGTTCGTTGCGAAAATAAATCGATAAGGGGAGCCGGGCTCTCGAACTCGGATTACTACAGGGGTCTCACGATACGTTACCAAGGGCTGATAACAGACTCCCCAGCGAGAGAGTAGGGCATGCGGAGTGCAGATAAGCGAACGGACCGAACGAGGAAGTTGTCATTTATGCGAGGATGGAATTTTTATCTCGCTGGGTGCGAATGTGCACTTGCATGGGAGGGCATTTGCACTGGGTGAATGCGCAGCTGTGCGCTGCCTCGCTCGGATGTAATTGCGTGTCGTTCGATGCCACGCGGAACGTTCGATGCCACACGTGTCTTGAGAAAGCCATCAGATGTCTCGGAGTACTGGCGCCCTGCCAGAGCCGAAAGCGAGCAAAGCTAGGACTCACCCGGAGAGGTAAATATTTTCTCGTCGGGAAGGCAGGCGAATCGCTTCACAATCGGCCGGCTCTCCAGCGTACGGAGGGGAAAATGGAGGCACGACGACGCATGTGCCTCTAGCACCCGTCGCGACGCAAATGCACGAGGACGTCCTCTGCCGTGTCGTCTTGCCGCTTGGGGATCCGTCTGGCATGGGATCGAGGGAGGGAAAGCGTCCAAGTCGTGTCGTCACGTGGCAGACACTAATTGGAGTCGTTCCGCTGGGAATTACAGCGCCCTTATCGATTAATCCAAGAGATCCTTTTTTTTTTGTTTCAGGGGCCAAAGGAAGATCTCAAAGCTTGGATTTCAATGCCTAATATTTTAAAAACTTATATAACACGTGATTTTATCATGGCTCTCTTGCGCACTTTTTGCCCGTTTTGTTCGAGAACCACTCGACGTGAAGGGGTCCGGCTTCTGTTGGCCATGTACTCAAATTAAACAAAAATAAATAACTAAAGCAAAAGACACACCTCTTGAGTTATTATTTTAGTCATTTCACACGGTCCAATCAGCCATGATGACATGCAAATACCATCTTTCGGATTTATTCCGATTCCGAGATCCAGGAGGATCGAAAAACGCAACTCATGTTCTGCTGACTCACAATGATGAGGAATTCGTGCCAGCTCCTTTGAGATGTGAAACCGATTTGCGTAGAAATCCATGCAAGTAAGGTTTTTTCACGAAAACTGGAAACGTATCAAATTAGTTTTCCATGACGTTTAGCTTCGTTTTTTCTACTCTCCATGAGGTTGCAATCATGAGACGCCAATGCATCGAAAATTTAAGTTCTCAAAAAGAGAAGTTGCAAAAAATTGAAATTTTGTGAGCTAAAGCATTTCTTCATGAATATCATTTCCACGAACGGAGCTTATGCTACTTTTTCATGCAGAAGTACGAAAAGCCACTCCCTACATCCAAGGTTTTTACTCGGACCAGACCTTTCTTCGTGTCGGAATCACCATGATTCAGGGTCACGAAGGTACAAGGGAAGACCAGGGCAGTGATGTAGCGTCGGGGGGGCACGTGCCTCCCTACTTTTCAAGAAAAGAAGCCAAAAATAAAGAATGAAAAGACACATGAAATGCATGATAACAACATCCCAAAGTTCCCCCCCCCCCCCCCCTCCTTTTGTCCCGTGACCCCCACTTTTTCCATCTATGCAACGCTTATGGACCAGGGTGTCGGTGAGCGATTCCGTAATGTACAGTATTCGTCACGAATAGACGATGATAAGGGAGGATAGAGTTACTGGATTCAACCCTTTCCTTGGTTTTGCATAAGTGAAACATCTTGGAAGATTCACTCCTACCGAGCTGTGTGTCTGGCAGGGCCCAGAGTTTTCCAGAGGCCCGGGGCAAAACTAAACCAGAGACCCCTTGAGGGCCCCCTTGAGGCCCTTAGGAGGGACCCCTTGGAACCCTTGATATGCGGGGCCCGGAGCAGATTTACCCCCTTTGTCCCCTCTCTTGGCGGCCCCGGTGTCTGGGACAGGAGAGTTGGGTTCACATTAGGCACTCCAGTCCCTAGATGTGGGATGTGGAAGGACCTCGGTGGTGAAGGCCGAACTCGGGTCAAATATCCCCGAATTCACTGGCCGCACCGAGTCTCCCGACGTTGGAGGTTCATTTTATCTTAGAAGAGGGGACTTGGGCTTTACGTGATGGGTGGGCTAGCTGGGATCCCAGAGCGAAGGCGCATTCATGAGCCTCGTGCGCCTAGTAAATATTTGTATCTATCGTATCGTAAGTGCAAACTGCGGAATAGTTTCCCTCACTTTATTTGCATTCTGATTACTTTATTTGCATTCTGATTTCTTGACTGTTTTATTTTCAACTACTTAGCCATCGAAGAATACGTTGGAGAGACTGAGGTTATTTGGGACAGGAGTAAGTTGCAGCACTCGAAGTTCTGGGATGCCCGGCAGTTCGAAATTCATGTTCTTCTTGGTGCAAGGTACAATGTTCGGGTAGAGACCTCGAGAGGCTTTTTATGTGATGTCCCATGCCGAGGTCAAGCGTTCTATTTTTGTAGTAGCATATCCACCTAACACCTAGTTACAGATACACCACTACTTTCTTTATATTGTCCGCGAGTGAACGTAACCTCTTGAAGCCACGGAAGAGTCACCCATTACGTAATCATCAAACGCGTTCCACGAATTCATTACCCAACGAGTAAGGGAGCGAATCAGCAACCTGCGTCTATCTCACTTGGAACATAAGAAACTTTAAAATTTTCCCTCTCGTTCGTTGCTATAATCGAATTGGAGGAACCGCTCTACTTTAACCATTCTCTTAATGATGTTAAATGGCTGAATGAGGCTCCCCTCGTTAAGCTTCTCTCGAACTAATGCAGTTCCAACGCTTTTGGACGTCTCTCGTAAGAAATTCTTTGCTCTTGCTGCTACAAAGATGCTTCAAGAAATAGAACCGAA